TATATATATATATACAAATATTTATGCGCAATAGCGAGGGCTAAGGTTTCTGGATTTGTTGTAAGTATATATAAAACATTCTTCCAGACTTTAGATTCTAACAGCTCTTCTGCTTACAGTTGTCCTGCAGACTGGAGAGAGTGCCAGTGAATGCTTCTGCCTCCAGTGTCCTCCTGTAGGAAACCCCCAGAATGGCGTGGCCACTGGCAGCTATATTATTTCTTGGAAGAGGTTGGTATTGATCTCTGTTTGTCTAGGACAGAAGTGGAGAATTATTCTGCATCTCTTTCAGTGACTTGGTGTTATTCCTAGAAGCTGGTAAATCATCCGAGGGCTTGTCAGTTGTATTAATAATGATTTGATGAGACAGAGCAGAGCCCCACTGACAAAATGTCATGTCATGGCTACCCTTCCATAACTGGCAACAAATAATTGGATAAGGTTTGTAGGTGTTGGAAAATGTAATATGAGCGCCTGAGTAAGGCATCATTGTGTGTATGTGTAAATCCCGGAAACAGATTTTTTTTGCACTGATGTTTTAGTGGTCCCACTGGTAGGATTCTGTCTAGTTCAAAAACATAATTTGGCTAATTAAGACTGGTTAAATAATGTAGCCATACAGTGACAGTTATGTACTAGATTAGGTTGTTTAAAGCTTCATTTCCCACTAATTGTAAAGAAGCAAGCATCTCCCCTGGCCAGTCTATATCCACATGGTTGTCAGGTTATCTATATGGAAAGTCCATATCTGCCCATGTACAGGGACATCAATTAAGTTTTTGTTTTTTAATTTTCCTGGCATGATATGGGATAGAGTTTGTGCGACTGAAGTCCAGATTATATGGCCTTTTTTTTAAAAAAAAAGATCAAGCTCCATACGGAGTATGCAAATTTTCTGTTCTTTACCAGTCTTCTTGTCAGCGCAGATATAGAACCTTTGGTAATAAGAGCTTTTAATCCTTGTTCAGATATTGCTTTGGATAACAGTTGCATCTTTTATTTTAAAGGAGCTCAGCTGGAGAAACTGTACCTGTTGTCAGCACTGTTGTAACACTACCACATGTGATGGTAGAAAGCATCCCACTCCATATTAAAGCAGGTAACCTACACAATGGCATCTTCTGGAGATCACCTCGGTCCCGCGTTTATATTATCAATAGCTTTGGTTGTGATATATATATATATATACACACACACATACAGTATCTCACAGAAGTGAGTACACCCCTCACATTTTTGTAAATATTTTATGATATTTCATGTGACGACACAGAAGAAATGACACTTTGCTACAATGTAAAATAGTGAGTGTACAGTTTGTACATGCATGCATTCATGAAGCCCCAGACCATGACTCCCACCACCATGCTTGACTGTAGGCAAGACACACTTGTCTTTGTACTCCTCACCTGGTTGCCGCCACACACCCTTGACACACGCTTGTCATGTAACACTAACGAGTTACAAGACACCGGGGAGGGAAAATGGCTAATTGGGCCCAATTTGGACATTTTCCCTTAGGGGTGTACTCACTTTTGTTGCCAGCGGTTTAGACATTAGTGGCTGTGTGTTGAGTTATTTTGAGGGGACAGCAAATGTACACTGATATACAAGCTGTACACTCACTACTTTACATTGTAGCAAAGTGTCATTTCTTCTGTGTCGCCACATGAAATTATATAATAAAATATTTAAGTGTACTCACTTCTGTGAGATACTGTATATTATCTGTACAGCAAGAAAGCTATTAGTCATATTTTCATTAAAAGAGAACCTGTTATTGGTTATACAGTATATCAACTAAAAAGAACGATGCATGACACACAGTCTACTAAACCTTTAGTAATAAAATGTGCCTGGGATCCACCAAAAGGGTTGCAGTGCTTTGTTTTTAGAGATAAGGTGTGAGGAAGGATCACAGGTTCATCCTGCATATCTTACAGCTGATGTCGGTGAAATGTCCTCTTTCTGGGTTTCATCTAATGTGTGTGACTATAGGCTGACTTTTTTTTTTTATTCTTGCCTAGATCTCCCATCTTTTGGAAGAGTAAGAGAGTCTCTGCCAGTAAAGTATCATCTACAGAACAAGACAGGACTAGTTCAGGATATTGAAATTGCAGTGGAGCCAAGTGACGCCTTCATGTTTTCTGGACTCAAGCAAGTAGGCCTTGTCATTTCTTGTTTGTTCATTCACATTTATTTCATCTGCTGAAAACTTTTTTGTCAAATAAATGATAGAATAATTTGTCACACCTTTTATGACTAGACACTGCATATTTGATGTCCTAATCATCTGGCTTCCGACTTAGCATATTTCATGTTTTGTAGATTCGGCTCCAAATCCTCCCTGGCACTGAGCAGGAGATGCTGTACAATTTCTACCCACTAATGGCCGGGTACCAGCAGCTGCCGTCTCTTAACATCAGTCTTCTGAGGTTTCCAAACTACACCAGTCATATGCTGAAGCGTTTCCTACCCACTCATATTTTTGTGAAGGTGAGTTCAACCATGTTAGGATGTCAGTCTATTGGCAGTCCGAACCAGACTAAATTTGCAGTAAGAACCTTATTGTGAATACATGAAATACTTTTAGGGATAACCTTTTTCCAACTGGTGCTCTCTCTGGAAGGTTTCCAGTGTGACTCTTACATTACCATGTGACATCCAGCAGCCTCCTATTAATGAAACAACATAGGGATGCAGAAACTACATGCGTGTCTAAAGGATCAGGTGAAGTGAAGTATGGTTGTACTGCAGAATTCTCATATAAACAAATTGTTGTTGTATAATTGACACCAAAAGGTGCAAGAGCATACCTGTAGCGGTATACTAATCCTCTTCAATGCACTGCCCGAGTCCCGTGAAATAGCTTGATTTCCATGGTACAAAATGAGTGTCTATAACCCCCTACCCCATCCCAGAAGGACAGAAGAAAGATACAAG